ATGCCACCAAAGAAGCTTGGGAGTAAGTTTTATTTCTATTTATTTATATATCAGTTCATTTATTATTCATTTCTCTTTATGAAAAAAGGATAAGAGGTAATTCAGGCAAACAACAGCAGCACATACAGATCAAATGTAAGTGCTATAAATACATATGAATCACATAAAATGGGATTAAGTTTTATTTTTCTTCATGTTTATGAAAAGTTACATCAGTTCTCTTTCCACCACAGAGAGGGACGTTTTTCCCAGAGCTTGCCGCTGTATTTATCCCCTACACCTTAATGAAGAGTGCTCCATAGTTACACTCTGCTAGAGTGGAAGTGAGGAGATTCCAGTTTTGGAAAGGCTCACCTGAATCTCTTACTGAACTGTTTGTGGCTGACTGAGGTGCATTGTGGGTAATGTAGGCAGCCGGTTTTGACAAGGACAAAGAACATTCATTCATACATTTTCCATAACCACTTATCCTCTTGAGGGTTGCGGGGGGCTGGAGCCTATCCCAGCCAACATTGCTGACATTTTACTTTTTGTTTTTAATGATCTGTCATGAGTCTGACCAATTCTATAAGAATCTGATGATAAATCACTGGATTGCTCCTTTAAACTGACATGTAATAGGAGTATTATTGAGATTCCATAGGAAACATGTTGCAGAGGTATATCCCATAAAGTTCAACCTCAATATGAATCTATTATTGAGTAACTGACGCTCATGATAACACCAATAGGAGCAGAAATAGTCATAATACTATTTATTTGTTGTTTTTATGACAGTATTTATTTGAAGTGTTGCGGTTTTGATGAATGGATTTGTTCCCCTCATCCTCCTTTAACAGCCGTGTCTCATCCTACACGTCATGCTGTGTTAGTCCACAGTTTGATGGAGTGGAACCGGACAGCAGGCGTGTTATTATCCAAACCAATCAATCAGCCTGATCCCCTGCTTAACGAACCACGCACACACACACACACACACACACACACACACACACACTGAGTTAACAGAGGTCATGTAAAGGGGGTGTGTGTGTCATGTTGGTGTGTGTGAGTGGATGAGGGTGGGGGTGGGGGTGGAGGTGTATCCGACTGGAGACTCGTAGTGTGTTTTATAGTTGAGTTCTCTCTCTGTTAAAGTGAATGGGGGAGGAGACTGACACAATAACAGCTATTTAAACACACAACCACCATATACACAGAGAAGACAAATATACAGGTTGACGTCATGATGTTTGGTATTTTGGACGTTTTTCATTCAAGGAAACAAAAAAAGGATGTTTCATGTTTTTGCATTTGAAATATTTGAATATGCCACATTTTAAAAACCGCATGCTCCTCCATGACATTTAAAATGCTGTTTAATGTATGTCTGACTGCATGTGCCCACATGGGAATTTAACATGGGAATTGTGCTTCACTGTTAATTTAAACAAGTGAAACAGAGGTCTACATGTGATTAATTCACATGTACTTTATTTGTACAGTAAAAACAGAACAAAACAGACCAAACATATATTCCAGTTGCCAGTTTATTAGGTACACCAAGCTTAAATTAATGCAGTCTAATACAGTAGTAGTTTGTGTTGAAAATTTTTCAGAGAGATTGAACTGTACGGTCCATCCTGGAGAATGTAGTTTGTGATGCTGTAATAGCAAAAGATTTTCACTCTAAACTCATCACGTATCACTGTTTGGTAAGTGGACTTTTATGTCTACATATGAAAAGCTAGGTATCCTGAGTGCGTCTGTTGTTGATGTTCTGGGACTCCTGTTACATGCATTGTGTCTTTTCAAAATATACAGTTTCTGCTTCTTAGATGCATACAGTCTCTTTCAAAATAAACTTACAACGTAAAACACCTTGTATTAACATTTATTTCCTTGTGCAACAAAGGTTAGGTTTAGAAAAAGACATCATGTATGGCTCAACATTAATACAAGAGGCAAACATGGGCCTCCTGGGTGAAAGTCTGGGTTTTTGTTGGACCCTTCCATCACCCCACCTGCCTGCCCTATAAAGACTTTCCAGCTCCTTAAATTGCGCTGCTGTCTGGTGGCGATTCAAATTGACACTGCTCAATGGCAAAACATACCACTATGAAAGGATATGTGTTTTTTGTCAGTGTGGAGTCTTCCAGAGGAAATATTGAGCGTTAAGAACTTAATTTCCTGCATACTGGTGAATTTTAATGCAGCAGTGTGGGCCCTCACTGCATCAGTCTATGGTGGAAATGTCTTTAATTTCACCAAAATAAAAGTCCTCTCCTACTTTCATGTTTCGTTTGGGGGAACAAATGCACATGTTGTAAATGGGTAGTGGGATATGTCCCCTGCATCCCCCTGAAATCTACCCTGAGTAGATCATATAAATTAAGGGTAACATAAAGTAGTGTAAAATGTGTCACCTTAACACTGAGAAGGTTCCAAAAAACAGAATTTAATCAAGAGCCAAAGTTTCGTGTCACATACTGTCCACCAGCCTCTATTCAAAAATTAACTGTTAATCTTAAAAACTCCAACATGACACTGAGGTTGTCTGTTAAAAATGTAAACTAGATGAGATATAATAATATGTCATAATTACAAATTATTGCAGTTAACAACTGCAGCTGCTATATGTTTATGCAACCAATTTGCCAAACACTAAATTGCTTTTGGACGATTCTGGAAGACAACAGATCACATTCAATGTCACGTCTTTAAATATTCATTGCTAACATTTTTCATGTCCTTCACGTGGAGACTATTGTACAACTAAAGGGATAGTTCATATTTGTTGAAGTGGGGTTGGATGAGGTTCTTATCCATAGTCAGTGTATTACATATAGTAGATGTCAGTCGGCCAGCCTCTCCTCAGGCAGGAGTCCGACATGGAAGATAAGCAATGCACTGTTGTGGATGGAGAAAGCAGCAAAACGTATTTTAGCCACCTAAAAAAATCAATATCAGTTTGAGTGCACACTATATCAAGAATATTTTAACTGCTTTACCTTTCCATCAGACAGCCCATTTCAATGGGGAAGCCATTAACAGCTTCAGTTCCCCATCTATGCTCTCCTCAAAGCCACCAGACTCCATTCACAAAAACAGCAATTTAAGCTCCCTGAGCACAGGAGCTGTGGGTCTACTGCTGCCTTGAACCGTTATTTTGTTTGTGTTATTGTGTGATTTTGGTAAATCCAAACTATACACTTTAAATGCCAAAGTCACACAAAAACATAAACAAAATAACTGTTCCATGCAGCAATAGACCAGCAGCTCCTGTGTTCAGCGATGTTAAAACACTGTTTTTCTTAGTGGAGTCTGGCTTTGAAGAGAGCAATGTAATGGTTTAAATTTCCCACTGAAAATCACTGTCTGACAGAGGGTTAAGTGGTGCCAGTGTGTAGTTGCTTCGGAGGAATTAGATAAGGAATTGTTCTCTCCAGTTTCCTGATTTAGTTTGTGACTTTTGGCTCCTGGAGCTTGTAGTTACTTTGCAGCTCGACTTTGGAACATCCTCCCACAACATGTCTCTTAAAATGTATGTGTTTTGGCTATTCTTTAATGTTTAGTTAATATTTTGTGAGTTGTGCACTTCTTATTACCTTTTAAAGCACTTTGTAACTACTGTTTTGAAACCTCCTGCAAACCTACATCTTCAGATGAAGACATTACATTTTGAGTTTGGTGTATCTTATACTTCATTCGTCTTAACTTAGATCTGTTGTCCTTGCTTGAGGACGCTTTTTTGTGCCATCTAGTGGTAGCAAAAACACAAATCCATGTAAGAACAAGATGGCGGCCAACTCTGCCAAGTCAGCCTTCAGCCAATCCCGACACAAAAGTGGACAGGGTACAAAACCTGGTCAAATATTATGGTTGATCCTTGTTTATTTATTATTTATTTATTTTGTTTGTAGTTTGATATGACATAGAAATATGACCAATTTTAGCAAAAGTAACAAGCTATGGCCCTGTTAATTTGTATTTATTTGAGGAAACTGGGACTTTATCATCACCTCATTTTAGGACGTTGGGACTTTATTATTGTATTATTAGAGCATTTCACACAGGCCAGTGAGGTGTGACAGACTGTTCCTACAGATAAAAGGACATTCCCAGTTTGAAGTACGGAAAATTCATACAGAGTTAAAGAACTAACAAATCACGTAGGTATGTTGCATTATTTGCAATTTAGTTATGCACAGCCATGTTCAGGCATTGAAATAGACAGTCTTATACTTTAATACACACTTGTGACATTAAAAATAAACCCAATGTTCCCACATGAGGACATCTTTTTTTTCACTCACTGTTTAAAGACAGTGTTTAGTTTTTTATACTTATCAGGTCCTACTAATCCCAGATAGCTCAGAAAAAAATAAAAATGCACACTAAACAAAAGCTGAGGTCTCAGGAGGGTATGTACATGTGACACATGTATATGTTGGAAAGCTGATTGACCAAAACTCTCTCTGTAGATTTTACATTTATAAATGTGTGAATAAGCCCACATTTGTGGAAAACAACCGCTTATTTACGCAGAAACACATGTCAAGTTTTTTGTCACATATGTACTTCACCAGCCTTGACATTAACCTCACACAGGCTGAAATAAAAACGAAATGGGTTTTTTCTCACAAAATGCTGAACAAACCTTAATCAAAAGTAAATTAAAGTAAATTATCCCAAAACTTTCCTTTAGTTTGAGGAAATAATAATACCTGGTAACCAAAGTCCGTGTCATAAAAAAAACCTTCCAAACAGAAGGTGTAAAGTTGTAGGAAACTGAGGAATAAACTCTCTGATAAAACTGTATCTTATACAGGAAAGGTGGTCCTGATGTTTTGTTGTTCGTCCAATAGGAAAACAGAACAGATGTGGCCAATCAGAGACCTTTTTTCTGCAAGAAGGCATCAAACAGAGAAGTTTATTGTGATTATCTGTAAAGTAAAATCCCCCACCCCCCTTCTTTTTTTTCCATCCATCTCTTCCTCTCCCTCCTCTTCCACCTGCAGTCTCTGTGTTGCAGACGGTGCTGGTCAGTGCTGGTCAATGTGACTCCGTGTTTAAAGGTTTCTCAGACTGTCTGCTTCAGTTGGGGGAGAACATGGCCCACTATCCCCAAGACCTGGACGACAGGCAGAACCTGCACCAGATCTGCCGGTATGTTTAAACACACCTGTGCATGTTCACAGGGCGGACATGTTATGATCTCACCTGCAGAAACATGTTAGAGATGGTCTCACCATCAGGACGAGGTGGTTGACAGACTGGGGCTAAATGGGTGGAGTTTCCCAGCATGCCATGAGACAATGTGTTGAAGGTCATAAGCCGAGAAAAACTGTATTTAAATGTGTTCTAAATCACTTGTTACCCATTACACAGTGATCAATGTTTATATATTTTACAATGATTCTAATTGGTTACAGTTAATGTTGTGGTAAACATTACTATGAGCTTAGTTGTATACACAGTTAGTGAGCTCCACCTGAGTGTCTCACGAAAAGTTGTGCTGAGGTGAAATAAAGAGCACCTCTTGGTTCAGTGTTAATCTCTTTGCCCTATTCTAGCTATAGAGAAACCTAAACCTGCCAAAATATTTTTATATAATTCAATGAAACTGAAAAGGGCATTTTGTAAAATATGCACTCAATGTTTTATGTTTAATGACATAGAATTAACTACTCAAACAGCAAAAAAGTTACGCTGAACTGCCATAAAATTGATGTCAGACAGGAGTCATGTGACACATTTATTTTTGTGCCTGGTGTACTCAAAACCTTTATATTACTGTAATGTACTAAACTAAAAGTTTTGAGTTAAGTGAGCGAATTAGGGTTTACAGTGTGATAGTGCACAAATGTAGCGGAGTAAACTGTATAATGTTTCCCTCTCAGATGTAGTGGAATAGAAGTAAAATGTAGAAGAAAATGGAAATAAAGTGTAAGTACAGTATTTGAGTAAATGTATTTAACTTTCCACCACTGCTGTAAAAAAGTACATAACAGACAAAATGGTTTTATTTCCATGCAATTGCAGCCTGTTTATTCAATTACCTTTTCTCTTTCAACACATCATTTTTAGAAATATTTTTTTTGCAATTTCTGACATATTCAATTATATTTTCTCTTTTAATCCCTTTTTTAAACATATTTTCACTATCTGTGAAGTCTAAGGATATATTTTCTCTTTGAGTGCCTAATTTAAAAAAAATATTTTTGTGATTAGTGACATATTCAATTCATTTTCTCTTTTAATACCATTTTTTTTTTAGTATTTTTTTTACTATTTGTGACATATTCGTTATATTATTTCTTCTACTGCTTAATTTTTAAAAATATTTTTGACATTTATGACATATTCAATTTTTTTTAACAAACATTTTTCAAAAAATGTTTTTGCTATTTGTGACATGTGACATCAGCTGTGAGTCTCAGTGATGCTCACCTAATTCTTAATCTTATAGAGAAAATAATATGAGTGATTTAGCTGCAGACCCTGAGGGGGAAACTGAGGTTTGAGGGTGTAGTTGGTGGAGTGTGCATATGTGCAAGGCAGTGCGTGTGTGTTTATGTGGGGTGGGGTGGGGTGTAGCCATCTGAACCCCCTCAAACACACACACACACACACACACACACACACACACACACCTCCTTTTATCCCTGTTTTCACCCCACCACCCAAACCGGGTGGGCACCAGATGGCACACTGCGGCAAGAAGCCCCCACCCCTTCACACACACACAAACACAAACACACACACACACACACACACACACACACACACACACACTCATGATTTTTTAATTCAGTGACAGCTCCATCACAGTAGTGTTGAGGCGTGGCAGGTGGGACGGGTTAATACGCACGCACACGCACGCACACCCACGCACACACACACACACACACACACACACACACACGTTAATTGCTCAGAGATGTAGCATCGACACGACTCGGTTCAGGAGGTCAACATCAATAAGAGCAGATTGGAAGATTGGATTAGATACGCTGTGAGAGCGTGTGTGTGTGTGTGTGTGTGTGTGTGTGTGTGTGTGTGTGTGTGTGTGTGTCAGCAGGCTGGTGTCATCTTTACATTAACTGGGAGGAGGATGGAAGAAAAAAGATGAACAGATGAGAGATGGAGACAAAAAGGAGCAAGGGGGAGCTCAGAAAAGACAAAGAACATGGGGGGATCAAAGATTAAGGGTAAAAAAAAAAAAGGGAAAAAGGAAGAATAATGAGGGCAAAGAGGAAGTAAGAGAGGAAAAGGAGAAAATAGGGAGGAGGATTCAGTATGAATAAAACATACCAGCAAAGAAGTGAGAGGAGGGAAGAGAGGACTGGCAACAATAAAAGAAGAGAAGAGGATGAAGGAAGGAGGGAAATAAGGGAAGAGACAAAAAGGAGGACAGAAAGGAGGATGGGAAGAGGGAGCAAGGGATGGTACAAAAGAGGAATAAAAAGGTAGTAAACAACAGGAAAAAAAGGAAAAGAAGAGAGGAGGAAAAAAGGGGTGAGGAAGTAAGGAAGCAAGGGAAAAAGGAAGGATGATGGGTGGTCAGAAGTCAGTGGTCGTTGGACCCATCCACCTGCCCTACTTGGACTTTTTGCCCCCTTAACTTTTATTGTTCTCTGGCCACATTTCCCCCTGATGCCGTCAGGCCCTGTTACTCACTAATGGCCACCTTATCATACCGACGTAAAGGACGGCTTTTCTCGTCAGTGTCTGATGTGGAAGTCACTGCCAAAGTGCTGGTATTCTATGACTTCGGAATGAAACCTGGTTGCTGACCTGGTTGATATATGCATTTCTGCAGGACCTTTAGGCAACAGGACAAGATTTTGGTATTGGAAGCATTCTGGCTTTTGTTTGTAGTCAGAGTCAAACCGGTCTCTTTCCCAATTTGTCAATACTGAGCCTTGGTCAGCGCCCCTCCGCCTCAGATACCAAGACACAGAGGCACCCTTTTTCAGCAGTAGCCTTTAAGATGCACTGGGCAGTGGCATTTTTCAACATTCCCGAGCAACTGCTGCAGAGAGCAAGAGTGTCTGCATAGGGCAGGTGGAAGTGGAAGTGTATGGGCCAAACAAACTCTGGACTTTCACTCACCATGTCATGTGATGTAACATGACATTAGTAACAAAAGCATAAATTAACATGCCATCCTTGAATGTCCAAAACTGATGTTTGAGGGGTACCAGAGCATCATAGGTGACATTTAGGGCCACTGACCAACACATTTGCTGAAATTAAATCTCAGAACCCTTCAGCTATCATCTGACTGCAATTTAGCTCTACATTAGCTTTTTAAAAAAACTATATCTGCATTGATAAAGAGATGTGTGCTTATAGAGATACATGAAAGACAAAGTCTTGGCCCAGATATCTGCTGGCTGCACCAGATCTCCAGAAATATTGGCCATTGCTTTCAGAAGCTTATCACTGTCAGACTGAAAGCTGATGGGTTCTCAGATTGGTTAAAGTTGAAGTACTTTATAAACTGTTGTTTACAGAAAACAATGCATCGTCTACAAACTCAATAAGTTTTTATGTACAAAACATTTGCAAATTAGTTCTCACATGAATGTATAATGCAAAAGCACAACATTTCCCTCTGAGATGTAGTGGGGTAGAAGCATAAAGTAGCAGAAAATTTTAGCACCTTCACGTATCCTCATACAACAGTTTGTATTAGCGCCCAAGAAATGGCAATTAACCGTTACATACTTAATGTAAATTTACATACTTAACACAGTTACATAGATTAGATTTAACAAGTAATGTTACGTAGGTTAATTTAGGAAGAGACATGTTGACAATGTACCTTGTTTCACACAGGACATAAACAATGGTCTCCTTAGGGAAAGTCCTGTGTTTGTTTGACCCATCCACCACCAAACCCATCTCCTTTCTACTCCCTCTATGTACAAAATTAGATACAGTATGTTCTTGTAACTGCCACTGTTGTCATACTTCCATACATCCTTTACGGTGTCATAGATATATCCAAATGATGGCACTAGAAGGCAGCGTCAAAAGTTCTCTGGTGGTACTGCTCCATTTAGTCCATATCCATAAGCTTTCAGAAGACGTGCACAAATATGGACGACATGAATGCAGAGCATGGACAGAAGGCTCTGTCCATGTCCATATACAAATCTAACATTAAACATAAATGAGCCCATAGATGGAATTTCGTTCTTTATACTACTTCCTTCTTTACTCCCATCAGTGCATTGATCACATGATCACAGCCCTCCAGATTACATGGGTTATATACAAATTCTGGTGCATTACGTTTTGTAAGAACAGTGCATGAGAACAGCATGACCAAGTACAGTACCACCACTGTTTGCCTCGTACTTGGAGGACTCTTGTCTCATTTGACCCTTCACTTAGCCCCGCCCCTTTGCAATGGTCCGACATGTAACTAAACGTTGTGGCAAAGCAGACCTCCTGTCTACTTTTGTAAACTGAAACTATTTCCCTCAGCTGAAACAAAGCTTTATTTACTAGATAAGAAACAAGAAACCGTAAAGACAATAAAGCCTCCACAAAAATAGCATTTTAAATCTTGTGTGTGAGATTTGTCCTTCTGTGATTTATACTTGGGGATTTATCCTGGCTTCATATGAGCAGAGGAAAACTCAGCTGGTCGCTACGCTAATTTATACAATGTAAAATGCAATAGGCTTGTGCTAATAATGTTAGCATATTGTACTATATTTGTCTGGCAAACGTGTTTAGTATACAACAGAGATGGGGGACTCGAGTCATGACTTGACTCGAGTCAGACTCGAGTCGCAAATATGATGACTTGAGACTTGCTTGACTAACGTTGATAATTTGACTTGATAATTTGACTTGAGATAGATGACCCGAAAGGACTTGGCTTTAATTCAATATTAAAGGCACGCTAAGCACCATTGGGTGTCACTTCTGTTTACGTTCAACGATGTTATCAAACACAACGGAGCTAGCTTGCCACAGCACAAAATATTTTATAGCAGGGACTTGACTTGCGTGAGACTTGAAGGTAAAGACTTGAGACTTCCATGTGACTTGCACATGTGTGACTTTCCCCCATGTCTAGTATACAACAGTTGTTTTGTCAGTGAACCTTGTGAGTTGTAATGAAGCTGAATTTCGTAACGTTACCTTTGTTAAATGCTGCTGTTGTCCGTGGCTTCATATGAGTAGAGAGAAAGTTCACTGGCGGCTAGGCTAATTTTATACAATGTAAAATGCCATAGGCTTATACTAAAGGGGCCAGGACTCCCTGGAAGAAGAGATCTTGTATCTCAATGGGACATTTCCTGGATAAATAAAGGATAAATAAAATAAATAAATAAATAAATAAAAACATTAGCATGTTGTATTTGTGGGTAAAATGTATCCAGCAAAAGACAAATGCTTATTCTATGAATGCTGTGACTTACAGTGCAGCCGATTTGTGTACTTGTGTTTGAAATTGTCTCTGTTAAGCCATGTCTAATTTGTGTTTTGGGTGTGTTTTTGAATCAACTGAACTTTACAGCACTTCAGAGAAACCCCACTGCCGACTAGTGTTTTGGAGGTGTAACTGCAGAGTGACACAGACACACCACCGCACAAGTATAAATGCTCACATCGGCTAAGCCACGTGCATAGGCTACAGAGTTCGGTCTGCTGCACAAGTATAAATCTCGCTTAAGTCCTAATTTCTACAGGCTTTGCCCCCTGAGTAGAATTCATTTGATTTGGTTATGAAAAGGCCTAAATAAATACAACAGCGTCAGAGTTGTGATAAGACCCGTACTTATACCGCTTATATCTTTATTTGGAGCATGATGACAGGCACGAGTTTAGAAATGAGCTAAAAGCAGCTAAACTAATAAATCAACTATCATGTAATTTCCAGGGGAAAAAAGGAAAAGACATAATCACTTGAATGTAGTATTTTTTCTTTAGTATTTGTCTATTGGCCCAGTACTCATGGATAAAGGCAGTGTAGAAATATGCTCAGAGGCTCCACACTTGCTTTAGGTTTGTTTTACTGGAAATATGAACTTCACCGGCTGTGTCTTCATAAGCTTTTTCCTTGCTCTGTTTTCTGTGGTGCCAGATTCTGGGATGACTTCCACTCTTGGCTCTGCATCTTGACTAGATGATGCATTCAGTTTAAAACCAGCCTCCCACTGAAGTCATAAGCTTGTGGTGTTAACACTTGCTGTGTTTTCTCCTGCCAGTTACTGGGATAACTTCCACTCCTGTGCCACGACAGCGCTGGCCGACTGCCAGGAGGGAGCGACGGACCTCTGGGAGAAACTGAAAAGGGAGTCCCGCAACCTGGAGTTCCGTGGGAGTTTGTTTGAACTCTGTGGCGGCAGCAACACAGCCCCCAGATCAGCTGATGCCAGGGGCCTCGCCTTGGTCCTAACCACACTGCCCACCATACTGACTTGGCTGGCGTTTTAACAGAAAACAAGGAGAAATATAAAAAATAAATAAATAAATAACACAAAGAAGAAAAAAATGAAAAATGAAAAAAGAAAATAGAAAAAGAGTGATAGCTCCTCTTCGATATTGAAAAAACAACTGAGTTTGAATTCATCACCAGAAAACTACACCCAAAATGGATTTTTACTACATCACTCTACGGCGGTCTGTTTTGCCTTTCTGGGACATCTGCAGGCCGTCCGCCTGGAGCGCTCATCCAATCACACGCTGACCTGACCTGGAGGTCGATAACATGAAATATTCAACACGCCGTTGAGCTGAAATGATGACAATGATGAAAATTTGATGGATCCTCGTCCACTTACGATTGTGGAATTACACAGTATTAAAGTCAACCATGAATTATTGATGTTTAGTAGGCTAGGCCTAGACAGCACTATGTGACTGCCGAGTGCTGACACAGTATCAGGCTATATATTAGGGTTCCCATATAGCCTAAGGTACACATTCATGTGCAACACGAGGTCGAGCTTATTGCCACAAAATCAATAAGACAAGCCAAGGCTGAGAGCCCATTTCAGACCGGTCGCCTCATTTCCATCATGGACAGTTTTTCCTTTTCAAAAAATATTGCGCCAAGTTGACTGCATTGAGCCCGGTAGATTTGATGGACTGAATGCTTGATTGTGATGTAAAATTTGTATTCTTATTGGCTGTTTATTGTGCTCAGGCTAAGGTCACACCAGCTTTTATCACCACGGCATTTTGCACCAAAGTGAATTCAAGTTCAATCGGCAAAGTCCATTTTGCATAATGTCCTCCTGTACAGGTAAACTTTGGTGGACTTTTAACGGGTAAATCTGTGGTATTGAAGTAAACTTGCAATGACTAACCTTTGACCCAAGCAGCATGGCTTCCAGTCAGTTTTGTGCCAGCTGTAGGCGTATTCTTAAATTTATAGTACTTTACTTTTGGTTGTTACACTGGCTAGCTTGCCGCCCTGCTAGCTACCACATATAAAATCAATGCCACATGAAGAAATCTTGGTCTGCTAGTTTCTGATGTGACCATAGCCTGCTTTTTCCCCACCAAACTCTGAGATGCAGGGATGTAGGCTAGTTGAGAGTATAACACCTGCTTTTCATTAACAGTTTAGATTGATGTTAAATTGCATGATTGCAGTTCAGACAGGTTCAAAACATTTCAGGAAATGAACACAAACTCCAAAAGCACACACAGTAACCTTGAATCAACCTGCCTAGTAGACAGATTCATGGACCCACTGCTGCCAGTTGGGATTAAATCCCGTCCCAAATCCACACCTAAGAAACTGTCAAATTGCAATCAACCCCTCTCAGATGGCTATGTGTTCTTTAGCATCTAAAATAAATTACATGTCATTTGAACCATTTTAGCTTTTAGAACAGACCTAGATGGATAACAGTTCAGTTTAGCAACTAAACAAGACTGAGTCACTTAAATTTACAGTTCAATCTTGCTAACCAGGCCTTTTCTGGTTTTGGCTACTTACAGGCTAAAACAGACAATGTTTGGATTAGCGGCTAAATGGGATTGTGTCAGTTTGCTAACCACTTGGTTTAGCTGCCAATCCAGAAACATCAGGTTAGCTATCAGCCGCAGCATCTAAACCAGACTGATGAAAGCTAACAGTTCAGTTTAGCAGCTGGATCAGATTTAGTCGGGTTAGGCTATAAGTTTGATTCAGATAACCTAAACTAATCTGGTTTGGCTGCTAACAGTTTGGAGGCTAAAAAAAAAGGGGTCTGCCCATTGGTCCGACAGCCCATTATTCCTACAACCCATTGGTCCGACATCCCATTGTTCCGACCATATTAAACCCATTGTTCCAAAGTCCTGTTGCTCCGAAATCATCATGATGCCCTGTGGTTAAGGTCTGGTTAGGTTTAGGCACAAAAACCACTTGGTTAGGGTTAGGGAAAGATCATGGTGTGGGTTAAAATGAAAAAGAAAGTGGCAAACACATAAGCCGTGAGCCTGCTCCGCCTCAAGCCTTTCCCAGCTGACCCAGAGCCGGTCACGGCGCACCATCAAGGCAGAATTACGCCCGCCGGGAGCCGTTCAGCACCGCGGAGAGCTCCCCACACAACCCGGACCCCAAAGTTAATAACAGGAGGTTATGGAGTTTCATTCTCTCCTCTCTATGACACTTGTATCTCGACCAGTAGCCTACTTTTGTTGCGTTTGCTGATCCTCTATGGTACACAAATACAGTATAGCCTGGTATAATCACATATTGGAATAACGGGACGTCGAACTAATGGGATGTCGGACCAATGACATGGACCCAAAAAATCCCCCAATGTTTATGATAACAGCTAAACTGAACTGTGTCAGGTTAGCTTACCACTTGGTTTAGCAGCTAAAACAGATGAGAACAGGTTAGCTATCAGCTCAGTTTAGCAGCTAGAACAAACTGTGTCAGGTTAGCTTACCACTTTGTTTAGCAGCTAAAACGGATGAGAACAGGTTAGCTATCAGCTCAGTTTAGCAGCTAGAACAAACTGTGTCAGGTTAGCTTACCAATTGGTTTAGCAGCTAAAACAGATGAGATCAGGTTAGCTTTCAGCTCAGCTAAGCAGGTAGAACAAAATGTGTCAGGTTAGCTAACCAATTGGCTTAGCAGCCAAACCAGATGGATGAAGACTAGCTAATAGTTCAATTTAGCAGCCAAACCAGATTAAGTCAGGTTAGCTAACGGTTAAAAAGGCTAAAACAGATCATATTTGAGTTCGCAGCTAAAGTCAGGTTAGCTAGCCACTTTGTTAAACGGCTAGACCAGATTGATTCAGGTTATTTAACATTTTAGAGGCTAAATTAGACAATGTTTGGGTGAGCAACTAAATACAATTGTGTCAGGTTTGCTAACCACTTGGTTTAGTAGCCAAACCAGATGGATGAAGACTAGCTAATAGTTAATGCTGCCTTGACAAAACAGGAAGTCTTGAACATGAACTCATGACTTCGGAGCTCTTAGAAAATTTCAATTTACAAGGTTGTGAGTGGCACAACAGGGGCATTCATATGGAGTCTTCACTTGGTTATAGTAACAAAGAACCATTTGAAAGCAGCATAAATTTAGCAGCCAGACAAGATTAAGTCTGGTTAGTTAACAGGCTAAAACTGATAATGTTTGAGTTAGTAGCTAAACTGAATTGTGTCAGGTCAGCTAACCACTTGGTTTAACAGATAAACTAGACAAGATGAGGCTAGCTAATAGCTGAGGTCAGAAGGTACAAGATATTGAGTTGGCTTTCAGGTAAAAACATTGCTAAGTTCTCCATTCAACTTAAAGTTTCACATAGCCTTTTGATCCTGGTTAACTTGAATGAAAACCTTCTCTTCAAGTAGAGTTTTAGGCTTTTTTTTTCTCAAAGTTTTTGAAACGAACATTGTCTATCACATTACAAGCAAAAAACATTATGCAAAATTAACTGAGTTTAATGTCTACATTTTAAAAGGTGAAGTAATTTTGGGCAAACAGTTTGTTCTTTTCTCACTTTAATCAGTTTGCATCATCACACATTGTGCTCATTTCCTGAAAAGCCACAAGAACAAGTTAAAGCTCAGTCTGTAAACTTTAGGACACATTAGCCTGATGGAAACTATTTTTGGAGGGGAGAAATACATTAGAATTAACTTTAGTTCATGTTTGCGGTTGATATCTGACCGTTCCTTCCGTCTGGCCACATCCCTGCTCAGCAGAACCATGTGTTAGAAATGAATGAATCTGTGAGCAAAATGTAAAGAAAGAAATACGATATTTTGAAAAGCTGACAGCAATATGAAGACATGACTTCATGGCCAGTGTAGCTTAAAAAAAACCCAACCGTGGCTGAAGAGTGATATGACTGTTGCCATTTAGCACATCCCCCCTTTTCATATGCCAGTAAGTCATACTAGACGACCTTAGAGGTGATATATTTTAGGTCTGTATGTTAGATTAAAAAGCTGAGTCCCAACAGTATAGTAGCATCATAAACTACATAAACACAGTAAATAAATTGGAGGAGGTTGTTTATTTATTTGCTGAGGCACAGATGACGTTTCCACTGCCTTCTGACAACAAGATGTGTACTTTTGTTTGTTTGTTGGTTTGTCTCTTTGTTTGTTTATGAGGATGTCGCGTAACAAGAGTTAAAAAAAATGGTCTTATTCCAAAAAGAAAAAAAAAAAAACATCTAGCAAGAGAATATGTATAGCCTATAAAAGGATTTTGAGAAATTAAAAAAAAAAAAACTCTATTATAGATAGTCTATCCCAGACAGTTTTAACACAAGATTGATACTTTACAGATTATAGGCCTACTGAGATATAAAGATAAAAGATTGCTAAAATGATAAAGAGTAATAAATAAAATGACTAATGTTTGAAAATCAGTGTGTGCTTTTATTTTGATCTGGGGATGTGGTTTTATATATTGGGTCTGGTTTGTTGCATTCAAGATGATGGACTCTTCTTCACACAACCACACACACTCAGTGGGGTTTGGAGTGTATTCATTATTAATGAGGGAGAGTCCCTGAGCTGCCACACGTCTCAGCACTCAGTTTATATTGATCGAGAGTAGGAGGAGGAGAAGGAGGAGGAGGAGGAGGAGGGAGCAGGTCCTGTTGTAGAAGATGTTTTTTCAGTTTAATATGGATAATCTGAGCTGCAAAGACCTTTAAACCTATTTTAAATTGGTCAATTATTCCACAAATCTAACACCAAAATCTTTATGATATTTAGTCAAGATTATAGAATGCAAACAGATTGGTTTCCATGCTGCAGTAGGAAATATTATCAAATAAGGTGATGTTTTCTGTGTTTTATAGTATTTTAATACTATAAACTGAAAAAGTGAATATTTTATGAATTGATAATGGAAAAAAATGAATACAACAACATAATATTTCTTCTTAATACTTAAATATTTACTCTTGTATCATATAAATGATATTCATTCATTCGAGTTTCATTTATCCTTACTTTTTATTTTTTACTTGGCCTACCTTTCATGGTTTTTACCACAAATAGCCTATCTCATAATCCTCGTGTTAGGATAAAAACTGTATTTTCATAGAGGGAGAAAAATAAACTTTTTAACTTTTGATTTTCCATAAAAAAGTCTAGATGAAACCAGATCCCATTTCCATGACACAGGAGGAAATGTTAAACTAAGAGATAACGAAACAATAAAAAATATAGATATTGTGGGAATCTATGCTGGCTAACGATAGTAAAAATCTATCTCTACTTGATACTATTATAATACCAGAGCTATTGGTGTATCTAGAACCACTCAACATTCTAGTGACCTGACAACTCTTTTTCAGCACTAAAAACCCTCAAAATACAAATTATAAGCTTTGAAATAGGGTAAACTCTTTATTTAACTCCTTATCACCCACAACAGTTCAGGCATTTAGCTGCAGTGTTTTGAGCTTACTTGCATTTTAATGTTATACTGTTCCTATAAAACAGAATATTTCCATGTCAGGTTATAGTGATTATATCCTTTTTGTAGCTATTTTTAAAGCCTTTTGTTGCATGAGCACGATATTCATCCCTTTCAGGCCATGCAGTTTTCAGTTGTAATTTTTATTACAGTGAGGGCCTCAGTAATTCTATAGCAGAATGATTTCGTTAAGGTTTAATGAAGCTCATGCAGATTTCCATCAGAACCACAGTTTGCGTGCTGCGGGCTCCCAGGGGGAAACGCATGCACTGCGTGTTTCTGCATTAATATGGATGTGATGAGATGTGAAGTGAGGGAGAATACAGCTGCTGTCTGCGGATCAGGAAGCTCATCACAGGACCAAAACAAAACAAAACAAACAAACAAAAACAAACAAAACATATATATAAAAAGACAGGAAGCCTTTTCTTTCACTTGATCTTCGTTTTCACTCTTAAAGCGGAAAACTGCAGATAAAAACTCAACTGATGGAAAAAAATACGTATCAAAAATAAAAGATAGGCTATAGCCTATTTTACAGGTATCTGATGGAAACCTATTGGATAAAAGTTTTTTGTAGGCATTAAAATCACCTGTAGCCTACAATAAGATATAAACAGTTTAAGTAAAGCTTAGTGTGTGCTACGAGGGGCCATTTAGGCTTAGGCCTGTCGATTATATTTTATCTCCCGTTTCTAAATATTTCTTATCAAGGAGGCTATTTGTATGGCTCCAAAGAAACATTAGAAAATATTGGCCAATATTAGGCTAAACAAAGACTAGGCCTATCATTAGCTAATAATTTTTTGTTAGCTAATTTAAACTACTCAGCAGTAGAAGAGACTGAATAATTCCTGGGGAATGAAAAAAAGAAAAATTCCTGAGAGGCAATTATATTGCCTGTAGGAAGTAACAAGAGCTGGTGATATTTCAGGCAAGATCCACATTAAAAATGTATGGAGGGAAGCCTGCAAGATGGAGGAATTCCCGCGGGATTTCGGAGAGACTTCCAATAGTCTAACCCCATTTTTTTATTCATTCAGTAGTCTGCCAGCATCTATGACTAATATAATGACGGGAACAGGAGCTGACTTATTCTGCTTCATTTGTTCATGGGATGCTGTGAGATTAAAATATTTTAACATGTGATCTGGTTCAGTGGGGTTCAAGCTGGGGGTCATTTACACTTGGATGCTATAAAATAAAGGTTTGTTCCCAGAGTTCTTTGCAAAAAACTACACTACCCAGAAGCCTTGGAGTGAGTTCTTTCAATTGGTTAGAGTGTTTATCTCAGAAGAAATTTTGCCCTGTCAGCCCATTTGGTTTTGTAATTCAGAAAAGCACACAAAAAAAGTTAGCATGATATTATGACCTGGGGCC